CAAGCAAAAAAAAAAAAAAAAAAAAAATGCTTGCTGTTCTTAGAAAATTGCTAATTTTATGACTTTTTGATATTCCACAATTTACATTTCTCGCACAAGTTTTTGTTTCATTTTAGATCACGAAATTGCAATTCGAGAGAGACTCTGGAATGATCAAATCCCTGGGGGTGTACATTTTCAAGGGTGAACATTTTGCTTCCGATCATCTTCCGTCATTTCGTTCTAGCCACGTACGTAGGTTTCAAGCGCGTTTCGAAGCTTTTATATTTCGGAAAAATATTTCGCAATCAGAAGCGTCTTTGTGCGCAAGGGTTTGCGGCCGTGCGTGCAACTTGCTAAAATTATAGGACATCGGAACGTGCGACGCAACATAGTAATTAACACGTTTGTTTGTGACAGGAAGGGTCTCGAATCCCAAAAGAATAAGTTTGCAAATATTTGCCCGTCACGAGTAGAATAATAATGTCCATGTATTCGCGTAATTTTTTTTTAATTGGAAAGGAGCAGTTTTTTCTTTTTTCTTTTCTTTTTTTCTCTCTTTGCTCGAAGTAAAAAATTGCAAGAGAATTTACTGCGTTTCTCCGCGTCAAGGAAGCAGTATTTTTCAAATTTTCTGCCCAGTTGAGGAAATATTTTTCTATTATTTTTATATCGTTGTTACTTCATTTACTGCTCGTTTCTCGTTAAAGAAAAGATATTTCTAATTTCCTGGACAGTTTATCATTTTATATATATGTATATATAATATTATTTTATATACTTTACATATTTTATTATACTTACATATTTCATACTTTATATATTTATATATATATTACATATTTATATATTTATATATATATTTTACATATATATTTATATATACATATATTTTACATATTTATATATACATATATACATATATTTTACATATTTATATATTCATATATATGTATATTTTACATATTTATATATACATATATACATATATTTTACATATTTATATATTCATATATATGTATATTTTACATATTTATATATACATATATACATATATTTTACATATTTATATATTCATATATATGTATATTTTACATATTTATATTACATTATATATATATATATATATATATATATATATATATATTTTACATTATATTATATTTACACATGTGCATATTTCATTTGTTTGTACACGTCGTATCATTCCGTGTTCTTCTTCTGCTTATGATATTTTTAAGAAACTCGGGGAGAAGCACTCGTTCCTTCAAATTCATGAAAATTACGACGCGAAGATCTCGTCGTTGTTGTAACGTATTTCTCTGTTTGTTATGACCACGACCACGGTAATGATATGTAAATAGCCGTTAGAACGTCTGAGTCGATATTTCGCGAACGGCGGAAAAACCAAGGAACTTTTGCAGTAATGAAAAAAGTCGCGAAGGACTGATAGACATTCACTTAACGGCGACTGATACTTCGCAGCGAAACGCATGTACATATTATCGCCAGTACTTGGGCTATCTGAAAGCAATTCTGCCAATAGTTCACGCGAAAGTATGCGCGCGGTATTTACACAATATCTTGGTAAATTAATCGGTGAACAAGAATTATCAAATGGGCAGTCACCGACGTTGTCGTTTATTCTCTCAACGATTATACAACCGTGTTATCGTGTTACGCGTCTAACCTTCTACGTGCAAACTGCGACCGAATGGAATGAATATACATTCAGTGTCCTCGATTTGTGTCAAACTTTCGCGATTTCTAACAACGGCGCGAACGATTTATCACTTTCGGCTGGAAGACAAATTAATCAGTCTCTGCCGCTCCCGTTTGTAAAATTGGACGGATGTCCATTGAATAGCAGGTTTGAAACGTGAAAAAAAAAAATCGCATCGACGTGTGGCTGAGGAAAGGATTCGAATACACGGTGCAGGAAAATATTCGACGCATAGGTGCGATAAATGTTTTCGACTTATTGTAATATAAAGTACAATTCAGTCGAGTCTCTGCAATTGAATCTTAACGCTAGACCAAAATGGTTCAAAATGACCATTTGAATATTTTTGTTATATATTTTATAGATATGACACAGTATATATTTAAAGACTTGAATGATCCTTCATAAAATACATAAATAAAAGCCTGTGTACCTTGTTGCACTGTAAAGATTTCATATTTCATTTATTTCAACGTCTCTGATGGAGATTTTATACTTTTTGTCGATAATTGTAGTGTTAATGTAGCTAATAGATATTGAATATCAAAGAACAAATGAAATTGTTGATTAGCAGGTCTCTAAAATATGTCTCTTCGTGAAGCATCAGCTATTTGCTAAAAAAAAAAAAAAAAAAAAAAAAGGATACGAAACTTGAAAATACTGAGAATTAACGTTAGATGTACATTTAAAATGGGCGACGTCGTCAATTTGGACGAATAATTGCTTGGTGAGCAATTTTTTGCAAATAAATTCCGCGAACCTTTTGGGCATTAACTGGGCAATATTTTGTGTATTTGACTTTGCTAACGATCGTCGGCCGAAAGCCGCGGTTCCGGTGTGTCCAATGTTTATTTTCCTCGGAGAACGTGTAGTACGACGACTCTCGGTGTGGCGAGTTTCGGTATAACGTACGTGCGTGACGCATCGGCCATTTTTTGAATGAAACTCGTCCTTCCCGCTATTCGCGCACGTGACGACCTTTCGACAACATCCGCGTCGGAATGTAACGGGCGAAACATGAGGAAATCATTGAGGATTTTTACGGTGAATTACGAAGGCGCGGGCAACCAGGTTACACTCCCCTGGCATTCTTCGTTCGAATAACACTTCGTTCGAATTTCTCTTCTTGTTAAGCTTCCCGTATCGTATCGAGATCGCTTGATTTTCCAATCGTAACGTTGCCTCGCGTTTCCTTTCTCCTTTCGTTCCCTTCCTTTTTTCTTTTCTTTCCTTTCTTTCCTTTTTTTTCTTTTTTTTCTTTTTTCTTTCTCTCGCTGCCATTGGCATTATTGGAAAAAACAGGTCTCGATACTGCCGGCTCGTACTCGCAGCAGCGGCGCACATTTTCGATGTGTATCTCTCGCTTTTTTCCCCCGTGTTATTTTTTGCCTCTTCCTCACGCTTAAATGCAAATGCTCGTTTCCTTTCCGCGCGAGTTTCCTTGTTTCTGCTTAAAGAAACGTTGGGGGGGAAAGGAAAGCGTGTAGGGAGATACAGATGGAAATTAAGGTTAGGTGTGCGTATACAGGGTGGTCCAAAGTAACAGGCAGCAACTTTAGAGCTTTGAACGTTGTGAATTATTAACAGATTGTTAATGACTTTTTTTTTATCAGCTAATGATACAGTTGGAATACAATTTTCTTTGCAAAACATCGTTCAAATGATTCACCTTTAGATTTTATACAAGCAACGACGGCTAATCATGATATTTCTTAACCTTGTTAGGTTATGTTAGCAGTTTTGTTAGTAACTAGCAAGATATTGCTTAACTTTGTTAGATTATGTATTAGGTTATATTAGTTTTGTTAGTTATCTACAAAACTAGCAAGATATTACTTAATTTTGTTAGGTTATGTGTTAGATTATGTTAGTTTTGTTAGTTATCTACAAAACTAGCAAGATATTACTTAACTTTGTTAGGTTATGTGTTAGATTATGTTAGTTTTGTTAGTTATGTACAAAACCAGCAAGATATTACTTAACTTTATTAGGTTATATATACTATATAAACAACTGTGTGAAAACATTCGGCAAGATGAAACGCGGGAAATTTAAATGATCGGTTCTTCACCATGACACACACAGTAGCAATTTCCAATAATTAGTCGCACAATAGTAATAATGTAAAAATATAAAAATTCAAGAGAACTTTCGAAAAACTTTACTATAACTGTGACTTGTTGTTTCGAAAATCCGATTATTGGACCATTGAAACAGTCGCTGAAAAAGCACACCGAATGATACGAAAGTTGCTCTGATTAAATCCGTGACGTCTTAAAGATACTACGCGCAATTTATTCGCACGCAAACACTTGCTACTCTCTTCCAACTTTATGAAAATATCAAACTTCTTGTTGATAAATCTACATTTCACCGAGAGGAATGAAATTGGCAAAGGAACATCTCATCGTAGAAAAACGACCCGTCGTCGTAGTTTAATTCAGTGCGTTCAACAATTTATTTAAAAAAATTGAGAGTATGAATGAATTTATCACAATAATAGAATTTAATATAAAAATTTTCATTATTTCAAAAAAGTAGTTTAGATAAAAATAGTAATTTTGGAAATTATAAATAATTAAAAAACATTTTTTTTGAAGTTATACAGTTTAATAAAAACACTAATTTTGTAAATTAAAAATTAATATATATATATATAATTATGTAACATATATATATACATATTATATATATAATATACTTATTTATTATATAAGTTATATATGTATATATTAATTTTTAATTTACAAAATTAATATTTTTATTAACTATTATTTATTACTTGTATTACCTATATTTATTAACTATATAACTTAAAAAAAAATTTTTTTTCAATATAACTATTTCTATATAACTTCAGAAAATTATATATATATAATTAAAGAATTATTATTATTATTACTATTATTATTATTATTATTATTATTTTTATTTTTTTTTATTATTGTTACAATTATATTCCAATATATTGGATGACAGTTGCCTGAACGAAGCTGAATGCAAATTCGATAAGGTGGGGAGAAAAAGGTGGTGCGGCGGGGTGGAAAGGGGATGGGATTGATTCGGAACGGAGAGGAGAACACGATATCACCGAGTTAATTAAATAGTAAGGCTGCAGCAAAGGTTTAGTCGACGCGTGGGCGCATTGCAGTGGATTCCTGGCTGGTTCTTGGCAAGTGTAGCTCGTTCACCGATGCACAGGTTTCTGGGCTGAAGCGAAGAAAATCGCGTCGAAGCGGAAGAGGCGAGATCGCGGTTACAACTCGTGGAGAAAGGAGACGCCGTGGCAGCGTGTAACAGCGGGCCTGGGCTCGCGATGTCGAGAGAGATGTAGAAATATAGCGCGGTTGAATGATTCCGTGCGCGAGAAGACGGCCAACCGGCTAATTAGGTGTATGAATAATCCGTAAACTAGATTCGGCATCCGGTGATTAACCTCTGATAGAAAGGAGCCACCTCCATTCTCTGCTCGTCCGTGCGCTTCCCTCTGTCTTTATTATTTCGTTTCGCACGATTTCCTCAGCGAGAAAACTTGGCTCGTTGAATTGTACTTTTAACAACGCCGCGATCACTTCTTATCTTTCTTCCTCGGCTTGATTCTCATTTTTTCGCGAGCGAGCGCAAGTTTCGAAAAGAGCCTTTCGACGCGAAATTGAGACGCCGAGTCTCGGTGTGGTTTTTTAATA